TGTCCGGGGGGGGGGGGGGGGGTCAAATGGGGGTCGAAAAATGACGTTTTTTGTGCAAAAAGTCCCATCTTCCCTGAACTCCTTCTACATATTACTCAGCAGCCTAATCACCTTTTTGGGGATGATTGGTGGTGTCATGTAGATGTGCAGTAAGGTTTCGGAATTTTGATTTTGCCCCGGGGGGTCAAATGGGGGTCGAAAAATGACGTTTTTTGTGCAAAAAGTCTCGTTTTCCCTGAACTCCTTCTACATTTTACTCAGCAGGCAAATCACCTTTTGGGGATGGTTGGTGTTGTCATGTAGATGTGCAGTAAGGTTTCGGAATTTTAATTTTGCCCCAGGGGTCAAATGGGGGTCGAAAAATGATGTTTTTTATGTAAAAAGCCCCATTTTCCCTGAACTCCTCTTACATTTTACTTAGCAGCCTAATCATCTTTTGTGGGATGATTAGTTGTGTCATGTAGATGTGCAGTAAGGTTTCGGAATTTTGATTTTGCCCCAGGGGGTCAAATGGGGGTCGAAAAATGACGTTTTTTGTGCAAAAAGTCCTGTCTTCCCTGAACTCCTTCTACATTTTACTCAGCAGCCAAATCACCTTTTGGGATATGGTTGGTGGTGTCATGTAGATGTGCAGTAAGGTTTCGGAATTTTTATTTTGCCCCGGGGGATCAAATGGGGGTCGAAAAATAACGTTTTTCATATAAAGAGCCCTGTTTTCCCTGAACTCCTCTTACATTTTACTCAGCAGCCTAATCATCTTTTGGGAGATGGTTGGTGGGGTCATGTAGATGTGCAGTAAGATTTTGGAATTTAGATTTTGCTCCGGGGGGTCAAATGTGGGTTAGAAAATGATGTTTTTTGTGCAAAAAGCCCTGTCTTCCTTGAAGTCTTCCTTAATGTTACTCAGAAGCCTAATCATCTTTTAGGAGAGTTAAATATTTTGAAAATTATGTAAAACATCAACGTCAAGGGGTAACAAGATGTGTTTGTGAAATACTTTGCGCCCGGGGGGGTCAACAAAGTTCAAAAAGCTATTTTTAGCATATAGGTCACAGTCAAGGTCACAAGGTCATTGACCTTGGTGTTGTTTGTAAGAACTTAATTAGTGGGGTATGCATACTAAATATGAAGTCCCTATCTCCTATGGTTCAAAAGTTATGGCAAAAAGTAGAAAAAGCTATTTTTAGTATAAAGGTCACAGTTAAGGTAACATGGTCATTGACCTTGGTGTTGTTTGAAAGAACTTTATTAGTGAAGTATGCATATTAAATATGAAGTCCCTATCTCTTATGGTTCAAAAGTTATGGCAAAAAGTGGAAAAAGCTATTTTTAGCATATAGGTCACAGTCAAGGTCACAAGGTCATTGACCTTCATGTCAATTGAAGGAACTTTATCAGTGCAGTATGCATACCAAATATGAAGTCTCTATCTCCTATGGTTCAAAGGTTATGGCAAAAAGTGGAAAAAGCTATTTTTAGTATAAAGGTCACAGTCAAGGTCACATGGTCATTCACCTTGGTGTTGTTTGAAAGAACCTTTTTAGTGGAGTATGCATACCAAATATGAAGTCCCTATCTCCTATGGTTCAAAAGTTATAACAAACAGTTGAAAAACCTATTTTTAGCATATAGGTCACAGTCAAGGGCACGAGGTCATTGACCCTGATGTCATTTGAAAGAACTTTATTAGAGGAGTTTGCATACTAATTATGAAGTCTCTATTTCTTATGGTTCAAAAGTTATGACAAACAGTTGAAAAACCTATTTTTAGCATATAAGTCACAGTCAAGGTCACAAGGTCATTGACCTTGATGTCATTTGAAAGAACTTTATTAGAGGAGTATGCATATCAAATATGAAGTCTCTATCTCTTACAGTTCAAAAGTTTTGGCCAAGGTTAAACTTGACAACAGACAAACTGACAAACAGATAAACAGACAAACAGACAGGACAAAAACAATATGCGCCCCGAAAAAATTCGGGCGCATAAAAAAACATCGCATGCTGGGAAACACCTTGAATTCTTATGAGTAATTTATGTACATGTCAAATGTGAGAGTCATATCTCATCTCAATCAAAAGTTATAAGCAAATGCAACATTTTTGAAAAGTAGGTTAGGCTTGATCGCTTCAAGGTCAAGGTCACAGTGTAAAAGTCATGATTTATTTGAAAAGGTCTTATCACAGGTAATAATAAACATGCATTATGATATGAATGCCCTAACTTTTCTCTTTCAAAATGAAGAATTTATAACAATTTAATTTTTTTGCAAGTTGGTCAAACTTCTAGGTCACATGTAAACCCCCCCCCCCAAAAAAAAACCATGCCATTCTCACAGGTAAATATACTAATACATAAGTTTAATATGAATGTCTCTTCTCATTCAGTTTATATGACCGTGATAACCAAGGTTAAATTTTTTGAGACAGATGGACTGAGTCTGACATACAAATGTACATATTTCTATATGAATTGGGTAAAATTGGCCCAGTGGTTCTAGAGAAGTTAAAAATGTAAAAAGTTTTCAGACAAACAGATGGACAACACGTCACGACAGACATTATATGCTAAGGAAACCAAAAAAGCTCAAATGAGTGTTTTGAAAGGGTTACAATATGGTTGGAGTATTTGAAAAGCTGTTTTTTTTCCTGCAGGGATATGCATGACCAACATATTTATGTTTTATATTTTCTTTAGTAATTTGTTTGTTTGTTGTGAATACATCTTCCCTCATATGGAGACACCACCAAATAATAATGAAGATAAGATGTGTTTGTGAAACACTGATGTCCCAGTATGGAAGCCTATGGCGAAGGTTGAAGTTTCTCAAATATATGTCAAACTCAAAGGTCAAGGTCAAAGGGTTCAAATTGTTAGTATCAGAAGAAAGTCTTGTCACAAGGAATGCACATGTTAAATAAAGAAATCTCTAGTAATTCCTGTTCAAAAGTTAATTGCCATGGTTAATTTTTTTTTTAAGTGGTTCAAACTCTAGGGTCAAGGTCAAACATATTTATACCTGTTGACAGTTCAAAATGAATACAATATGTCATGATAAGTATGAAAGCCCTAGCACCTACTGATCAAAATTTAGGCAGAGTTTAAAGTTTGGTATTTTTCTTGTAAAAATGTGTATCCCATGTCAAGCGATCAGAGGTAAAAATTAATGGTACCCAAATAAAAGGTCTTATTAAATTGTCACAAGAAATAAACCTATAAAATGTGGAAGCTATAAGTATAGCCCATCCCACTTAAAACTTATGGGCAAGCTAGCTAGGATTTAATTTTTGCAGACTTATAGACAGACATACTATAAACACAAGAAACAAAATATGTATAATAATTAGTCAAATGGAAAAAAATATACTATTTAACTGGAATCACAAAATAGATTGTTATTTCAGGGACAGGAAGTGGGTAGGAAGATTGGAATCCCCCCTCCCCCCCCCCCCCCATCTGGCATTTGCTTTGTTATTTAAACAAGACTATATACTGTAGCAAGTAAAAAATGACTCTTGACATCCTCTCCCTATAAACTTAGAAAACATTGACCTCACTATCATTGTTTTTTTATTTGTTTATTTGTTTTCATTTTTTTTTCTCCTGCTTGTCACGAAATTCTGGGCTGGAATTTTTTGACTGAGATGTGAACCCCCCTCCCTACTCCCGAAAAAAATTCTGGATCCGCACCAGTATTGGCAGTAACTGAATGTCACATCGACAACGGGAGATAACTTCACAATATGAAATTCGTCTAGTGTGGCATGCGATGATCTTTGACCCTTTTTAAACTTTAACCTAATCGTTTGGGTGTATTTTACTCCCCACTATACTAAAACTTCTACTTACCGACTCCCTGTGTCTCGTAAACTTCATGAAATATAAATCCAATTATAACACAAAATGAATTAATCAAATGCACACCAGACTGCAGCCATTTGCCATTTTGGCGAACTTTCGTCGATTCCGTCACCTTATCAGATGAAGTGGGAATCGGCCGAGGTGTGCCAAATGGTGTTTAATCTATAAATATCATAATGGGTGACGCAACGTGATGTAATGTAGAAATTTACATGTTCACATGTATAGTACAAGAACAAATTTTAAATTAATTCATAAAAAAACGATATTAAATTTTAACAAACCTTTTCCGTCTAGCCTATTCCAAAAAGTATGTGCTGTGTGATTGTGGTGTCGGGGGGGGGGGGGGGGGTTAGTAAATTTAAAAAGGTCCTATTATGAGCAAAACATATATCAAAATCTAATTTCAGACGCGGATCCAGAATTTTTTTCCGGGGGGGGGGGGGTCCACCTCAGTCAAAAAAATCCTATCCCAGAAATTGACAATCCAAAAAAAAAAAACCTAAAGTAAATCTCACCCAAACGTCAAAAACCTATATCGTGGAGGTGGGGTGGGGGTAGTGGTGACTTCTATTGCCGCAAATGTTTAACTTTTCATACCTATTTTACACATATTCGTGTTTACCAGGGGGGGGGGGTCTGCATTTTCCAAGGGGGGTCCAGTTGTAACTTTTTCCTTGTTTTAGTGTATACATTTTTTAACCTTGTAAATTCCGGGGGGGGGGGGGACCCCCTTCCCCCCCCCCCCCACCCGACAGATCCATGCATGAATTTACATCATTAATAAAATTCAGACTGGTATATAATGAATTAAACATGTATAAAATAAATATAAGAGGTTCTGAGTTATAGGTCACAGGGTCTGAGAATTTCATAATCAATTTGATTAATACATGTAAATTATAGAATTATTTTGACTATTTCCTTGGATAGCCGCCCAATATGTAGGAGCGTGTATTTAGAGGCAAACACCTTAGTGCGGGTATTACTGTCTCATGACAGCATCTAGTAATGTATATGTTACAAAAACCAAACTTACCAATTCAGTAGTTTTTAGAGGGATCCCCAAATCCTTAAGATTCGACGCTTTATTTAGATAGACACCTTATAATATTAATGTTACATAAACTAAACTTACCAATCCAGTAGTTTGAAGTGAGATCCCCAAATCCTTGTTTATATTCAGACCATGTCTTGTAAAAATCTGTAGAATTGTCAAGTCTTCTTTGAATTACCTTTAACACATTTATTTAATTTTAATTCGTTTAAAATTTAGTAAACTTGAGTAATTTAAGACGTTTTGACGTACTTATCAAGAAATCTTGACAACAGCTATAAATGCTATAATTTGTAGAGGAGAATAGTTCAATCCTCCCTAAATTATTCTCTTTATTCAATAACAAGTTTTACTCACTGTCCAACCTCCTCCATCAGTTTTCATATCACAGTAAACAGACTTAACTTCATAGGCCATGGATATTTTGTATACTCCGTCCTTTCCTTCTAAACTCGGGTATTTCTTCAGAATGTCTGAACAATCCTTTGGAAGCACTGTGTAAAATAATATCCAATGTTACCCACATACACACTTTTTATTGTAAATCAGACTATATATGTTATACATGTAGTATTCTTTCAAAATTTAGGTTCATAAAGAGCAAAAGGCAGCCACAAAACATCCAAATAAAAAATATATATACGTGATTCAAATCAATCTTGATTTATTCGGTCTGCGAAAAGAATATTTGATTTATAAGTTTTACGAAGAAAGTTCAATATTGAACGCTTGTACCAATTGTTCTCTTTCAAATTCGGTTTATAGTCTAAACGTAAACAGAATGTGATAACATACCTTTTGACAAGATCCAGCTGGATTCATTCAGATCCCTACAAACAGCTTGCAGAGTATCATTTACAGATCTTCCCAAAGCGTCCTCTGTATATTTATAACGTTCTAAAAGACTGTTCACACTGCACTTCTGTAATGTTTCATTCATTTCATTTATTTTGTATTTAAGTTCCTCAATTTGGGGGCTTTTGGCGGAGACTGATTGGGATTCATTTAGAACCTTAATTTCCTTTACTGTTTTTTCCAATATTTGGTTTTTCGTCTCCAAGTTCCGTAAGTCCATTGAAATCTCACTAAGCTTTGCCTTGATAACTTGTATATCATTTTTGCTGTCCACGGCATCCATCACTAGACGTTGTATTTTTTGTACCATAGAGAAGCGTACCAGACTTTCCTGATTCAGAATGTCACGTAGGACTTTGGAAGCTTTACCAGATATGGTACTAGGGAGCAAACCATTTTTATCAGAAGCTTCGTTTTGAATCAAAGATGAATCACCAAATGTTCCATACACAAACATAGAAAGACTAAAATAAAGTACTTGTAGAACACCCATCTTTGCTGTAAAGTATCGTTTTAAGTGTGAGACAGCGTTTTATATATTGTGCAACAATGGGAGTTCGCAATTAAATCAACTAATGAAGCGCTGAAATAGTAATTGTTTTTTTGCGTAAAAGAATAATTTTATACTTGACAGACTTCCAAATAACAGTGTAGTCTTTCTCTTAAGTCAAACCAGATCTAGTGTATAATTACTAAAAGAGTTGTCACAGGAAAAAAAAATGCCTTGATACTTGACTTTATTATATACCAATCAATTTCCTTGTTTTTGTGACTGTTAAATTTACAGAGTTTGATCCGATTTTCCGGATCACCACACTGTGGTTTTTTGAATCCATATCACCACTCTCTGAAACTGATGACGTAGTACGCAAAAACATGGCGTTATTTTTCTCGCGCTTTAAAAAGTCCCTTGTTGTTATGCTTTGTTTTATGGATAAATATTATACAATTGATCTCTAAAGTTTTATTCTGCTATACTTAGCTAGTTATAAGGGGATATGTAATAAATTTATCAGCATAACAGTAACTTGATCCGAAGAGCTGTATCACGTCTCGTTGACAGGCGCGAATCATCAGATCAAATTAGACGCTTCGCGGCTCGGTAGATCTGATGATCCGCGCCTGTCAACTTGACCCTTCGGATCAAGTTACTGTTATAATAATATATATGGCTTACATAAATAATGTATTCTTTTTCCAGAGATCAAACGCTTTCCGCTTATTGAATCTTAAAAAAGAAGAAAATATATCGAAGCAGAAGGATATGGAGATAAAGAAGAGTATTCAATCTCAAAGTCCTTAAAAACAATACAAAACAAGAGCAGAGCAAACACGGACCTGCGAAGCATTAGAGGTGGGATAAGTTGCCATGGAGGAGTGAGCATCCCCTGCTGACCGTTCACACCCGTCGTATGCCCATTGTCATGATCAGAAAATAACGGCAAAATCTGTCCTCAATTCAGTGTATAAATAATGGACTTACAATTGGTATGAAATACGTCAGTCAGTATTTGACTCAATTATAAATAGCTCATTGTATCGACCATAGAACTTACAAAATGATGACTTCAAGCGAGACTGCTGATATTCTTGTTTCTCAACTTGCTTGTCAATAATTTACCTCGTTTCAGAAATTGTTAATACAAAGAGCATGCTCTTGCATATCGAATTAACTGAGATATATACACTCTGAATGCAGGTGATGAAGGTATATTGCTGCATAAGGAAGGGAAGTTGACGATAGAAAAGTTAAAGTCGTCATCTTTATCATATACTGTAACTTGGTTGTTACGGTACCATTAAAGCCTTTTGCAA